TCAATAAATCATCAACATAGACCACGACAAAGAGCTGCAAAGGTCCACGCACCAAGGTAAACAAAGAGTAATCTGCTACTTGTTGTTCAAATCCATACCCTTTGAGTGCGTTTGCAAGCTTAGCGAACCAACATCGTGGAGCTTGACGCAAGCCATAAAGAGATTTCTTCAGCCTACAAACTTTCGATTTATCTTGAGAAACGAATCCTGGTGGTAATCTCATATAAACCTCTTCCTCAAGATCCCCATGAAGAAACGCATTATGAACATCCATCTGATGTACTGCCCATCCTTTGACAGCTGCAATCTTAAGAAATTCTCTGATAGTTGTCATCTTCACGACCGGAGCAAATGTCTCATCAAAATCCAAACCTTCAACTTGTCTGTTACCCATAGCTACCAATCTAGCTTTGTAACGCTCAATTTCACCATTCGACTTATACTTGATTGTAAAAATCCAATGACTACCAATAGCCTTCTTTCCTGGTGGTAGATCAGTAATGTCCCAAGTATCATTTGCTTCTAAAGCATTCACTTCGCCAGACATTGCATTACACCATTTTTCATCCTTAACTGCTTCTGAATATGACTTAGGAACCGAGACAGCAGTAATAGCAGCCAGAAACGCTCTCTGTGAATCAGAAAATCGGTTACAATTCACATAATTTGCAATGGGATATAGACCCGTACCTGTACCAGAGGACACTGATTGAGAGGAGGCGGGTGAGAGTGTGGGTTGATCGGATGAGCACCGTGTAGTGTGTAAAACATAGTCATTGAGATGACTCGGAAGTTTCTTTTCCCTTTCGCTTTGACGAACTTTAATTACTGTCCCTTTCAACTTATCATCACCCGATTTCTCAGCACTCCCCCTTTCGTCTAAAGCAGTAGGCAATGTATTTTCATTATCCGCAGACCCCAAAAATTCACCAGTCGACTTACCAGGTAAGGGATCGATCGATCCAGGAGGCGGATCGATCGATCCGTCCTTCTCTGGACCCTTTGGTCGTTCCTCTGGATCGATCGATCCATGTGAGTGATCGATCGTTCGCCGAGCCTCTGGAATGTCACCGTCTCGTCTGTCTTGCGATGGATCGATCGATCCAGGAGGCGGATCGATCGATCCGATTGTCTCTGGGAAAAACTGCTCGTCGTCGTCATGGACTGGATCGATCGATCCCTGAGGTGGATCGATCGATCGCTGCTCCTCCTGCTGAAATGGGAATATGTCTTCCTGAAACACCACATCCCGAGATACAAAGAATTCAGACTTCTCTAAGTCATATAGACGCCATCCCTTCTGACCAAATGGATAACCCATAAACATACAACGTCGACTCCGTTCCCCAAACTTATCCTTATCACGTAAGACATTGCGAGCAAAACATAAGCTACCAAAGACCCGCAAGGTGGTAAAATTAGGCGCCACACCATACAACATCTCATAAGGTGTCTTTCCATTAAGAACTGCAGTTGGAGTACGATTAATCAAGTGACACGCAGTAAGAACACATTCTCCCCAAAACTTACGTGGTAGTGTAGCTTGAAACATCAAAGATCGAGCCACATTTAAGATATGTTTATGCTTCCTCTCTACTCTACCATTCTGTTGAGGAGTATAAACACACGAAGTCTGATGTATAATTCCTTCCTCCAAAAAATATGATCTTAGACCCATAAATTCACCTCCATTGTCACTCCGTACAACTTTCACCTTCTTGTCAAATTGACGCTCTACCATCTTGAAAAAATTCTTAAGAGTCACAACAACCTCACTCTTCGCACGCAACAAATATACCCAAACAGCTCTTGAATAGTCATCAACTATTGTCAAGAAATATGCAGCCCCCGTAGTAGACAAAACCCGATAAGCACCCCAAACATCACAATGAATTAAATCAAAAACTCCAGCAGCTTTATTAGAACTTTCATGAAAGCAATCACGGGTTTGTTTTGCTCTTAAACAAATGTCACAAACTGTTGTTGAACTCACTTGTTTCTCAATATCTAAATGACTCAATAAATAAGGAACAACACGACTAGATGGATGACCAAGACGACGATGCCATAAATCCCATGATCCTGAACAGCTCACAGTCTTGTGTATCTTCGCACCAATCACCCCTCGAAGCACATACACGTCCCCACACTCTTCACCAACCCCAATCAGCGTCTTCATAGCACGGTCCTGTATAACACACAACTCATCAGTGAATGTAATAGAGCCCTTAACCACTTTTAACAACTTTGCAACCGAAATCAAAGAGCATGTTAAATCCTTAGAATACAAAACTCCTTGTAACCACAAATCACCCCCGAGACATATATCACCCTGTTGTGTGGACACCACATGATCACCATCCGGTAGCCCGATCATACATGGATTGGTATTCAGCACATTAGACAAATAGTCTAAATTACCAGTCATGTGGTGTGATGCTCCTGTATCAAGAATAAAATTAATACATTCTTTCTTACCATTCAACTTCTCATTAGCATTGGGCTTTTGAGAAGCAAAGAGACTCTGGAGAGCATTCCATTGATCATCACTCATATGGGGTAGAGATTGACGATCCAAATCAGACGGTGTCCTTGTTGAATTAGCCTGTATTCCCCCAACAATATTTGCCTGAACACCCGTGACCGCGTTAGCCCTACCACCGGACCCACGACCACGTCCAAACCGGCCACCACGTCCTCCACGTCCACGTTCACCTCTACCGCGAGAATTGTAGTCACGACCTCGTTCTCCCCACCATTCAGGAAGGCCAATTATCTGAAAGCAATCAGCCTTTGCATGCCCATACTTACCACAATGAGTACACGTCACGTCCTTCTCGCGATAAAAATTGGAAGTTTGACCCCGTTGCGTAGCCTGGACCGCAAACCCCAAAGCCTCCGGAGTGGCATCACGATTCTTAGTAATCGTGAGTTGTCTCTCTTCTCGAATGATCCTTTGATAGACTTGTGAGAGCTTGGGTAGTGGTTCTATACTTATGATAGTAGAACGCACCGTACCAAACTTCGCAGAATCTAAACCATTCAAGAAAGTATTGGTTCTCTCTTCATTACGATCTTCTTCCAACTGAGCAGCCAGTTCTCCACAACTACATGATCGAATAGGCTTGTAAATTGCCAATTCATCCCACATCTTCTTAAGTCTCCCATAGTATACCATTACCGTGTCCCCGTTTTGTCTACAGTTTGCTATATCAGCCCGAAGCTCACTGATTCTTGGCCCGTTTCCCGCAGAGAATTGAAGCTTCAAATCTTCCCACAACGCTTGAGCTTCATCCACCATAGAAATCGATGTCCTAAGAGTCGGCTCAATCGTGTTCATAATCCAAGCGATTAACATAGAATTAACCACTTCCCACTGTTCAATCTCATCATCCTTGGTAGGTTTCTCCAAGGTCCCATCAATAAACCCCAATTTCCGTTTCGTTCGCAAGGCGTTCCGCACATGCTTAGCCCAATCTTCATAGTTTTCTCCCTTCAATTGAACAGTAGTGAACACATTACCCGGTCCATCCGAAGGATGGAGATACAGTGGCGAAGTCCTAGCTTTCTCTGCCACCGTGAGCCCACTGCCGCCGCCGCCTTCCGCAGTCTTCGCCGGCCCGAGCTCTTTCCCATCACTGTTCTCAACGTTGGCCATAATCTCTTCTCTTTCTCCCTTTGTTTGATCTTCTTCTTAAAACCCTAGCTCTGATACCATGCCAAAGGGATAAGAGAATGAAGAGAAAGTTGTTTCTATTGACATTAAGAAGAGAGTATATATACATCTTACACATGAAACCCTAAACATACTTAGGGAAATTAACATAATAGCCTAAGTATAATATATTTACATTATAGGTCCCTAATATAATCCTTCATCACCTTTGCATCTAATGTCTTAGGGATAAGAGCGAGAATAGTCGAATTCAATCCTTTTGGCAAAAACCCAAACTTGAAAAAAGATTGTATTGCAACTGTGAGATCACGACCAATGATTGACCAACCTGCCATAAAGAACTCCACCGTGTAACCGTTAGGTCCCGGAGATTTGTCTTTTGGCATTGAAAATATGACTTTTTTTATCTCTTCTTCTGTGACTTCCTGAAGGAGCTGCTCTTTTGTATCTGTAGAACAACGATAAGGAAGCAGTTCCCTAAGAGCATTGATCTCAATACCCGTAAACTCTGATGGCGTATGAGTCAGTAATTCCGAGAAGTAACGAACACCTTCTGCTTTTATATCTTGCATACTCGTAAGAGAGTTACCCTCTGGGTCAAAAATCTCATAAATGGAGCTTTTAGCTGTTCTTTCCTTGATGGAATTATAAAATGTCTTATTGTTCTTATCTCCCACGTGTAACCAATGCAATTTAGACTTTTGCTTCAGAAACCCCTCTTCTAGTTCTGATACTCTCTCCCAATGTTGAAAAGCAGAGGATTCTGCTGCAACTTCCAACGGTGACGGGTTTGAAAGTGTGCTTATCTGTTTTGCTTGGAGCTCCTCTAGAGCAGCAGAGGCCTTTAGGGAGATGTCTGCCAGCTTTTCCCGAATTAAGGCTCGTAGAATAGGCTTGAGCTGCTTCAACTTTTTACAAAAAATAAACAAAGCTAATGTAGAATGAAACAGTGCCGGAGAACCTCCCCAAAAATCTTCCAATTGAGCAAGGAATTCCGGCTGAGAAGCAATGATGTTTGTAAACTTGAAAGGTGCTTTCGGTTTCTGAAACTCTGAAGCCAAAAAAATCTTACCGCGTAGATGATCTGAACAGCCACCCGAGTCCATCACACAATAAGACTGCAGAAAAATTCGAAGCCACTCATCATTCTGTAAAACTCTGTCCAGTTTTTTACAAATAAGCCCATTTTCTTGTCGATTACACCAAGTAAAGACTGGTCCGTGAGTTCTCATGCCCAACAAAGAGCAATAACGCACTACTTCTTGAAAATCCCGCATTCCTAGGGTGACCATAGGGTGAGTAGCATAATTCGAATGATCTTCCAAGTCTAAAGTCTCGTTGAAATCCCCCAATATAGTCCAAGCTTTGCCTTGGATTGCTGCGAGATCATGCTGATGTTGTATGTCCCTCCAAAGCTCCTTCCGTTCTTCTACTGTGTTAAGAGCATAAATAAATGAACACCAGAACTCCTCATTTACTCCATGCAGCTTGATAGAACAAGTTATCAGCTCTCCACTTTTAAAGATAACTTGTAGCTTTGTTTGTTTACTCCATGCCACCCAAATCCTTCCCAACCTACTGAATTCATAGTTCGCCACCAAACTCCAGTCTCCAAAAAATTTTTGTTTTACAACACCAACTCTGTTTTCTTTAACTTTCGTTTCAAGTAAACATCCAAACTGAAAAGAATTAGATCTAATCCACTCTCTGATAACCCTTTGTTTTTTTGACTTGTTTATGCCGCGAATGTTCCAAAAGAAACCCGACATTAATGTTTGGATTTGGAGTTCTTCTTTCTGAAATTGCTAGAGACAGTGTCTCTTGCCTGTTGAGAATTTTCCGATAAAAACTTGTGTGAATTCTTTGAGTCCCGTGGTAACTGCACCCGCAATGCTACTGTATCTCTGTTTAATTGATTTTTCTGAGCTGTTACAAGTTCTTCCTCCACTTTGTTCTCTTGAACCTGTGGGTCAGGAGCTTTTTGAACGCGATCAGGGTTAACTTCTGGGATAATTTCTCCCTCTTCTGGTTTATCTCGCAGAGCATCAAACCGAGTTGGGGAAATTATCCGAACCTGACCATAAACCAACTTCTGACCTGAATTTTTTGAATTTTTCCCTCCTGATTGAGGGACGTTCTGCCATTCTCCATCATTGCTCTGATCCGTTTGCTGTATACCTGGAGAAACACATTTCTCTGTTTCCACACTCACCGAATCCTTCTCTACGACAGTTTCTTTCTCACATGGTTTCTCTTCCACATGGGCTGAAGTTAAACTTAATTCTGAATTAATTGCACTTGAGATGACTGTTTCTGTAACTTTGCTGGCCACATTCACAACAACAGGTTGCGATTCCGGCAATATCCCATGAGGACTTTGAACACGCGGAGATCCAACACAACCAGTGCTTGCCAAACAACTATCGTCTGGATGCCCCCACTTTTGACAAATACCACACCTTTGAGGTAACCAAGGATATTCAAATTCAACACACACTTCTTCACCTCTAACTTGGAAGAAATAAGTTTGTGGAAACTCTTTGGTTAAGTCCGCCTCAACAAAAATTTTTGCTTCATCAAAGTTAGTAACTAGCTCCGTATCCGGGTGCAACCTCTTTGGCTCGCCTACTGGACTAGCAAGGAAGCTAAGACCCGGCCACGTAAACATAGAACGTGGAACATTTTTGATTTTGACCCACAAAGGCATAGTTTTGATCTCAGGCTGAGCATCTTCCACTATGGGAGTCCATTTTGACATGATCATTGGCAATTCACATATATTCCACATACCTCTCCTTAGCGCACGCATCCTCGCTGATGCGTTACGGATCCGGAATTTGACAGTAGTGGTGTTGACTTCATAAACATCGATCTTGATACTCTTATCCCCCAAGTTCCATATCTTATTCACTATAACGTGGATTTTCGCAACATGGGGAGCTGCAGACGGAAATCTACCAATTAGAAAATCTTCCCACAAGGGAACAGAGTCATCTAGAATTGTATCCGGTACAACCACCGTGGCTTTACCATCAACCATCGAAACTTCAACATCAAACTTAGCAAGACAAGGTCTGCTGCCAACAACATGTGCATACGATTTAGGACTTGGAACTTCGTTACCCTGACAAGAAGATTTTTTAGTTGCAAGACAAATACAACAATACTTAGCACTGACGTAAATATGATTAATTTAATTCGATAATTTGGCCTGATCAAACAGAGAAAATATACTTTTACCAGGAAGATTACTAATGGATTTTTTTTTTTTCAGTTACACATTAATTAAAAATTTACTCTTTTATTGATATGACTATCTTGTAATCACTGCAAAAAAAAGAAAAAGAAGAATTAGCTGGCGAACAAAAGTTTTATGGACCAAGAATTATTAGATATATGTATAATTTATTTTTTTACCATGTATGTGATACATGAAGTCTATCGGTATTTCCGGCGGCTTTGAATATTTTCAGCTCCACAAAGCCTTCTGACGGGACCTGAGAACAAAAACATTTCCAATATAAATCATACTTCCATCAAAAAACAAAAAAAAAAAATTATTCTTTTTTTCTATTATTACAATAATTTATCTTACTCGTCGGATTCTTTTTACAAACCCTAAAAATCAAGGCACAAAGACTCTCTCAAGAGACCACAACAACTCCCACAACCACTGAACAACAGGATAGTCGTGGCTTAAGATTGATAAATTACTTCTTGAAGTGTCAAATCATGAAAGCCTTGACCGAATTCGTTGAGTTACTTCTCAATAGCAGTGGTCATTCTGTTAGTTGCCTTAAAGTCTACAAACGTGAAAAGCTTCAATCCAAGTATATCCTTTGACATTAGGTTATACCACTCTCTTGTCAGACCACCGACGTCTATTCTTCTCTCACCCAAAAAGATCATTTGAAAGATGGCGAAATCGGAAGTTGAAGAGGAGGCTCTCTCAGTGGATAAGCTTGCCAATGAATGCGGAGAGCCGATTCGATATTTTCGAATGCCCTACGAAAAAAAAAAAAAAACATGATTTTTATACCTTTTGTTTTTGTAAAATTACAAATCATATCGTAATAGAATAAAAAAAAAAGCCATACAAAAAGTTCTTTTTCTTTTTTCTTTTTGTCAACAGCTTAAATTAAACGCTCAAAAGAGCCAATTCTGCGGAATGTTGTTTACATAAGTGATGTGAAGCGGTTCGGTACGAACTTGTCGAGCCAATCTATCCGCTTTTACATTTGCGTTACGAGGAATTAAAGATAAAGAAAAACTTGAAAATTCTTCTATGTCAATCTGAAAATCCTCCAGGTACACTGAAAAAGCCGGCCATTCGGTTGGAGAAGACACCATCTTCACCAAATCTGAACAGTCTGTAAAGAAAGCTACATCTTGGTTGTCAGCACCAATCATACACTTCATCGCCCAAAGAAGAGCTTCGACTTCTGTATGTAGAGGAGATAGACTTCTACGGATGTTGGCAGCTCCCATGGTTGGCATCTCTCCATTTGATGATGTACAATACCATCATGTTCTTGAATAAGTATCGGTTTCTTTCCATGATCCATCTATGAAACAATGATATCCTGAATAGTTAGAATCCAGTGAGATTTCCCTCACTCGATTTAGATTTTCAGTATCGAAAAAATCATGGTTATCAATATGAAGCTCAATTTGAGCTAACTGCCACGATTGCGCCTCTTTCTCCGCAAAGCGTAAGATCTCTAATGGATCTTTATCCACATTGTCAAAGATCTTTTCATTCCTTGCTTTCCAAATGTACCAAATTATCCATGGATAAGAAGATGAATCTACCTCTGAAGGTATTCTCTAAAATAGGTGATCCAAGTTCTCGTAAATAGAAGCCGTGGGAAAAATTCCCGGGACCGAAGGAATTTGAGAAAGAGCCCAAATTTGTCTCGCTGGATGGCATTCAAAAAGTGTATGGTTAATTGTTTCCTCTATGGCGCCACATTTAACACATCCGGTATCACAATTTATACCTCTCTTTCGCAGATCCTCTGTAACCGGTACACAACCTGATAAA